TAGGTATTTTAAATCAAATTTGCCTATAATTATAAATTTAGACAAAATTTTTAAATAATGACTTATAATTAATTTAATAATAATTATTATTATAATAATTTTTATTATAATAATTATAATTCAACAAAATTATTAAATATTTAAGTATACCCACGTCATTATTTAAAAATATAGGTTAAGTTTAGGTATAGTCTAGGTATTTTAAATCAAATTTGCCTATAATTATAAATTTAGACATTGGCAACACCGCAGGGCTTCTGATACACAGCGGAGTGTGTCTCTTGTTGTTTATGCACTAACGAACAGTTAACCGCCCCGTCCCGCATTACCGGGCTTCGACTAGCCAGTGTAATGCACCGGGCTTCGCATTGATAGCCGTGCATGTATATATATATATATATATATATATATATATATATATATATATATATATAATATTATATATATATATACATGCACGGCTATCAATGCGAAGCCCGGTGCATTACACTGGCTAGTCGAAGCCCGGTAATGCGGGACGGGGCGGTAAACTGTTCGTTGGTGCATAAACAACAAGAGACAAGCCCTGCGGTGTTGCCAATGTCTAAATTTATAATTATAGGCAAATTTGATTTAAAATACCTAGACTATACCTAAACTTAACCTATATTTTTAAATAATGACGTGGGTATACTTAAATATTTAATATATTGTTGAATTATAATTATTATTAAATTAATTATAAGTCATTATTTAAAAATATTGTTTAAATTTATAATTATAGGCAAATTTGATTTAAAATACCTAGACGATACTTAAACTTAACAATATTCTTAAATAATGACGTAGGTATACTTAAATATTTAATAATACTGTTGAATTATAATTATTATAATAATAATTATCGTTAAATTATAATTATTTATATTATATTAATTTAAAAGTATTGTTGAATTTAGGTACCTATAGGTATAAACATTTCATTTATTTTGTTTATACATCATACTTTTGAAAAGGTTTAAATATCTTATACCAGGTGCTCTACAAGCTCTATGGCAAACTTTGTCAGATGATAGCTGGGTTAATTATAAACATTTTTTCTTAAATGACATGGATGCGATTCGTTTTTGTTTAAAAGTTAAGCCTTTAAAAAATATATTTCCATATGTTAATAAAAAATATACAAATATATCAATAATTATAATTATTATAAGAATTATTGTTGAGGTTGGGTAATTTTGTGTAAAACTTAAATGGGAATCAAAAGAAGTGAAACTGACTGAATATTTTTTTCATGAATTATAAAGACATCTATTTTTTTTTTAATTATTAGATTTAAATACACCAAAAATTCTAAAAAATCTAAATAATGACGTATACTTTAATACACTGCCCGACAAAATTATCGCATAATAAATATAAAAAAATTAACTCTAAAACGCCTTTACCAATCTTTATGAAATTTTGGATAAAATACTTCAACTTATATCTCAATTTACGTGTTAGAGGGTTTTTCGAGAAAATATGTTTACAGCCTTTTTATTTAATAATGAAAAAAAGTTCGAAATATAAGTTTTAGGGAATTTTTTTAAATAAAAATATGCTGTTAAAGAGCGTATTTTTTTAGTACACCCTGAAAATTTTGTACAAATCAAACGAACATTAACGAAGATACAGCGCTTCAAAGTCGGTAAAAATGACGCCTTTTTGATTATTTTGCTGAAAAGTGGTAATTTTTATTTATTAAAAAAAATTCCCTAGAAGTGATTTTTAGAACTTATTTTCATTATTAAATAAAAAGGCTTTAAACATATTTTCTCGAAAAACCCTTGAACACGTAAATTGAGATATAAGTTAAAGTATTTTTATCCAAAATTTCATAAAGATTAGTAAAGGCGTTTTAGAGTTAATTTTTTTTATTTATTATGCAATAATTTTGTAGGGCAGTGTATTTAAAAATAATGTGATTTATAATTATTTTAATAAAAACTATTATATTATTGAATGAATTATAAGTCATTATTTAAAAATATTGTCTAAATTTATAATTATAGGCAAATTTGATTTAAAAGACCTAGACCATAGTTGAGGAGCATCCGTAGAAAACCGGCTATATCCATTTTAATAAATGTTGGGAAAATTTAGGAAAACTAAACCAAATTAAAAGTTGAAAAATAAAAAAAAGAAGTGGGAAAAATTGCTATTTAGTTTAGCATCCTATAAACAAGAAAAATGTATTACCAACCAAATATTGTTACATTATAAAGTTAAAGCCGCCTTTTATCCAATAAAAATCGTAGATAAAATATTACTTTAACCAAAACGGTTGATAAAATAATATTGTAATGGTAAGTATAAATGGACAATCCTTATCTAAAAGGAACCAAGCGCCAAAAACTATTTTTGGACTTAACAAAATTTTTTGTAAAATAACTCATTTTTAATAATGCTCAAAAAGTTTATCATTATTTAGAACTTCTTTTAAATTATTAAGAGGACTTTCAAATTATAATTAAGTTTTTGAGCAGCATTAAAAATGAGTCAGGTATATACAAATAAGTTTGTTAAGCTCCGAACAAGTTTTTGGTTGCTTTTAGATAAGCACTATCCAAATAAAGAACCCAATTTCTTATTGTTGTTTGGTCGTTTGGTCGTTGTTTGCCATGTATAAATAAATTGACCAGTTGTGAATGTTAATTGACAAATTGCCATGAGAAGCTATCTGTCAAAAAGCAGTTTTTGCAATTCAATGTTACATTAAAATGATATTTAATAAAAATAATTTTTAATTTATGTCATACCGCTATTGGAAATTTTTTTAATAAATTAAAAATTATTTTTATTCAAATTGGAAATGTTTCAAATAAATTAAATATTATTTTTATTTAAATTATTTAAATGTAACATTGAATAATAATAATAATAATATATACAAATCCCCTTGTTTCCCTAATTAAAACTATGTAAAATATCTGGACAACTTGTAAAACCGCCCCAAAGAAAAATGCACTCCAAATAATATTTCAAAAATAAATAATTCTTTAAAATTAAGTGTATTACGAAAGTATTTAACAAAACATTGCCTTTTAATCCACGCCATGTAGTGAACAAAACATAATTTTGGGAATATAACATTTATTTTGAAAATCAGTAGATACAAATTTAAGAATCCCGCATTATTTTCCCCGCCTTCCTATCAAAAATTCATCGAGCGTATAGTCCCCATTGTTGCCAGATGTACGGGCTTCGTATACTGCGTAATACTTATACAAAGCTGTATATAATCTACTTTGACTCGTGTGCCCCCTACCGCCAAAGCATTGGAACTAAGGGTGTATATTTTGATATGTTTGAATGGCATTAGGAAGCCCACCACTTTTTCGCCATTGAAACAAGGAGGCATCACTTAACTCTAAAACAAATTTATACACGCTAATTTTAGGAAGCCCGATTTCGGGCTTCGTAAAAACCGAGTGGGCTTCGTTTATACTGTAGAATGTAACGTTTCGGGCTTGGTATTGTAGGATTGCATATCTATATATATATATAATATTATATATATATATATATAAAATAACATTTTATTATGAGGGACAGTAATGAAAATTTAGTTTTATCCTAAATGTATACGTTCTTAAAGGGGTTTCTATTTTTAAAATGGCTTCAAAAAATATTCAACGAATTACCCTCCCGGTCTAATACACTCCAAAAAACTCAATATTGAAAACAAGGCGGAAGAAATTATGACCTTATTCAAAACAAGCTTAAGGGGTATAATAATATATAATTTAAACAAAATCGGAGTATCCTAAACCAATTCAGAAAAAGACAAAATACTACAGGCCCTATAATAATGGAACCTGAACAGCTGCACGCTTATAGGGATAAAAGATCCCTCGATTCTAAAAACCCAAGACACAGGGTATAATAGGCCTAAAGGTCTCCTGAGCCTATAATAATATTTAAGAAACGATAGCCAAGTGGCTATAAAAATAACTTCTTAACTTTCTTGCTATTAGCAAGTTGCTAACAACATCCATTTCAAATAGCAAAATTTAGCAATCTAACGGATTTGAGAAAAATGAATGGCAGATGAGGTATCTAAACAGAAAACTTTAAAAGGATAAGAGTACAAGTGCGGAATCCCTTTTAGCTCTGCAAAAGGCCATTAAAAACATAAAAAAGTACGTAGAATAAAAAGTTGTAAAAATCGAAAATAATAAAATTTGTATCGTCCCAGAAAAAATTGAACACCCTGTATAAATTAAATTACAACATTAAAAAATATGTATTAATTCAAATATTTTTGTTCCCTACAAATTTTTCATGACTACAGTTGTTTCTGAGATAGGCATATGGGTTATCTTACGTGGTTCACCCTGTACTTAGCTTCTTTTAATCCTAACTAATGGTTAAATTTATTAAAAATGATCTTTTTGTATAACAAAAAAGCATTTTCAATATGTTTTTCAACAAAAATATTTTTGGTCACCTAATCACTCTGTTTACGACATAGTGCGGCGAGCCGGGGCCCTATGCAATTGCTTAAAGGTAATCCGGCCCTGTTCGCAAACTATTTTGAATAATTTTCTGTTTGAAAAAAAGGTCTTTCTTCGCTGTAATTTTTTACCGATTCTCTTTATTTTTATATTGTTTTGTAAAAGTTAGCCAAGTCAATTCCTAAAACTTCATTTTAAAAATCGAGTCATATAATATTATTTGCATCAGTATATGTAAGTTTTAGTTTATCTTTTTTCTATCTATTATTATCTATTATTTTAGCCACTTGATGGGTAGACGAAATTAAAAATATTTTTAATATTATCCAGTAGGTAATTGATATACCTACAATAAAAATTTTAAATGGCGTAAACTATAATTATGATAATTATTATAATAATTATTATAATACATCACAGGTTTGTGCAAGTAAACGACGTAAACATTTGTTTTTTTAAGCGGATACTCCTTTCATTCTAATTTTTCTAGATATCATGGCTGTAAAAATAAACGTGTTAAACCTGGTCAAACATATTTAATTTTTTAATACAGATTTATTTGAATTCTATATTTCAAGACTGTCTTCTTCTATCGCTTCATAGATAATATGAAATCCTTTACTAGCAACAGTGTCATCTGAACGAAATCTAACCAGAAGGCCATCGTGAGTGGACGATAAGTTTATTGGTTTCTAAAATAAAAAAATAATAAAACTTGTCAAGAAACTCTAATTATACTTACAGTTTTTCCACACAATTTTCCAAACGAAAGCCCACTGGAATCCAAGCCATTGAAAACCTCAACATAATCATATCCGCAGTCTTTTTCCTCCTCGACATCGAACGTTACGAAACTTAAAAATACCCTGTACTCGGGAGAACTTTCGATGGTCCAATCACAATCAGCTCTATTATCGTAACTCACGCTTCCGTATTTAGCGTGCGAGAAAATGCTTTTTACAGTATCAGGCACAGCCTGCAATATGCCGCCGCAAGCGGTCGAGTAATGGGCCTGGAAACCTTTACGTTGCACCGAGCTGTCTGAACGGAAGCTTACGAACAAGTGGTTTCCAGTCGTAACAACCATCGGCGGTATCCGAGATCCGCAGTACCGACCGATGGTCGGTGTTTCCGGCGATCCGCCATCGTAGAAATCGACGCGGTCATATGAACATTCTTGATGCGATTCCAACTCAAAACTAGAGAAAATCAGTTTTATTCTATGGCCTAAAAAAATATAAGTATGAACAAATTGGCTAACATTGCTCATAATATTGTAAATGATCCTTTTAAGCTAATATATTCCGACGTGTATGCTTCATGATAACGAAACACTAATGTAGATACTCATTCAATGATAAATAAATAAATATTTCAAAACCAACCCAAACTAACCATTATTCCAAAATTTGGAATAGTGTTGATAGTAATCATTATCATTTAAACTTTTGGATGAACCAGTTAGATGAGCGGTTTTAAATTCATTGTAAATACCAGTCAGGAAAGTTAAGGTTATTGGAAGTTATTATGGTGAAATAAGACAAAATGGATAGTTTTACAAAAATACAATAATAACACATAATAACACCTTGCATATTAAACAAGTAAATATAATATGTTATAGATATAATTTATAACAACAACAAAATGGTCCGCTCCTCTGTGCTTCGCCAACGTTCTTCCATTATTTGCGTATATTTTAAACGAAAAATCTTTAAACCACAAAAAATGGTACGTACTTACCTTTACTTATACCAGGCCTCAATTCGTATTCATATGAACAATCTTAATTTTGAGAAAATACTTTCCTCTATGTGTCCCTCCGGTCGAACTTTTCCAATTTCCATAAATTTTTAACGTTTTAAGAAGAGCAAATGACGTAAGCCGCAGACATTGGCCGGTATAAGCCTTATAACTTAAGATACTTTGCTGGGTAATTCCATTTATTAGCCACCAATGAGTGCACCTCATATACTCTAATTTGATTTCTTTTTTAACTGTAAATAGACAAGGACGCAAGAAGTGAAAAAAACTCCCCTTTTCTTTTCTCCCCCTATCACCTATTTATGCAGGGCTAACCCAACTTTAAAAAATTGTACTTATTTTGCTAATAAAGCTATCGACATTAAATAAACTGTTAATTTTTAAGAAAATATTTCTCTTTTAAACCATATAGGACACATTTAGTTATTGATGCCCTAAATGGTCTTTGGGAATTAAAAAAAATGCAATTTTTTGGGAAAGTTGTCCAATTTTATAAATTCATATATTCTTAGAACAACTTTTTAATGTAGTTTGTTACCAAAGATCTTACTCTATATAAAAGCAATAAAAACATTTTCATATAATACCGGCTTAGAGTTAAAAAAAATATATTTAAAATTCATGTTTTCGAAAAATCACTATTTTCATCCATTTCATGGTTTAAAAAGGCTGTTTAAGTGAGTAGATTTAAACCAATGTATGCTTATCATCACAGACACTTATTAGTCTCCAATAACCATGAATAAAATTATTGTATAAAACATAGTTTCTCGCGTGAATTATTAGTTATTTCAGATCTGTGTTATTCAATAATATTGGGTGTCGATTTTCTAAGACAACAATATGTAAACATAAATTAAGCTAATCAAAACTTATCATTTGTAGTAGAAGGTAATAGTTATTTACGTGTCAAGCTTTGTAAATGAATCTTTACGGGCGAGCTGGGAGTTTGTGGGGTGAGCGATGCAGGAGCGAACCCCATAATTCAGTGAGCCTAGTAAAGATTAATTGCAAAGCATGACACGTACAAACTTTTATTTTCACCTTAAGATAACGATTTTCAAATTTAAAATTTCAATTAATGTGTCAAATGTGTCATTTCATTTCATAAATTGCTTTTCTACAGGCCTGTAAAACTTTACAGGTCTTTTATACAAGCCCGTAAAATATTACAGGTCTGTTCCCATAATGTATCGTTTACTTGGATACAAAAACAACAAAATTAACCTATAAAATGTCATTTACTAAGAAGGTGGAAATAAATTATTTATAATGGCAAGTGTTGATTATAGTCAACATTTTCCCGAGCAGAGTGCTTTAAATATTTCGGATAAAGTAAACAAATCGGTTAAGTGCAAACAGATTACTGTGTTGATGTAAAGCATTTGTCAGATGTAATAATGTTTTAAAAATATGCTGTTTAAGTAAAACTGATAAAAATTAATTTTAACTTCTTTTAGGTACTTGATTATTTTTTGCTGTTTCAGGTACCAACTCCTATGTCCATGTTTTTTATAAAGCCATATACAATACCTATAGTTCATAAGAGAGGCAGTGCAAAAATCCATTGTTCAAATGGAACTATGGGGTGTTCTTGAGCGCGCCTCTCTTTTTATGACGATAGTTGGAAGGGAGATGCAAGACAATGCAATAATTACAGAGGCATAACATACAAAGTATTGACAACAATCATCGACAACAGAATCAAAAAGTGTGTAAAAGAGGAAGTAGGGGATCATCAATACGGATTTATAAAAGGAAAATCAACTGTAGACCCAATACATATCATGATGCAGATACTAGAGAAAACTCACGAACATAAAATAGGACTTGATATATTATTTATAGACTTCAAACAAGCATTCGATAACATCTGTGGCAAAACTTTAAAAAAAGATTTAAAAAGTCAAATATACCGAGAAAAATAAGAAACCTGGTGCATATGACTATGGAAAGATCGAAAAAAAAGTTACTGACAGAAGAAGAGGAATCAGAAGAGTTCGAATATAATAAAGGGGTAAGACAAGGCGATTCACTTTCTGCAATGTTATTTACACTGCGCGTCAAAATTAACGCATAGCAAGTAAAAAAAAATCCAAGTCTAAAACGCCATTAACCAATCTTTATAAAATTTTGGATTAAAATACTTTTACTTATACCTATCTCAGTTTACGTGTTCAAGGGTTTTTCGAGAAAATATCCTTAAAGCCCTTTTATTTAATAATAAAAAACGCTTTTTGAAGTAAATAAAAAATACTTATCCTGTGAAAGACCAACTTTTTGTTAGTAAACCCTGAAAATGTTGTACAAATCAAACGAACAGTAAGGAAAATACAGCGCTCCAAAGTCGTTAAAAATGATTTCAGCAAAATAATCAAAAAGGGGTAATTTTTACCGATTTGAAGCGCTGTATCTTTGTTACTGTTCGTTTGATTTGTAAATTTTTATGGATTACTAACAAAAATACGGTCTTTAACACCATATTTTTAAATTACTTAAAAAAATTCTCTAAAAGTTATTTTTAGAACGTTTTTTATTATTTAATTATAGGTCTTTAAAAATATTTTTTTGAAAAACCCTCGAACATGTAAACTGAGATATAAGTTGAAGTATTTTTATACAAAATTTCATAAATATTGGTGAAGACGTTTTAGAGTTAGAATTTGTTTACTTATTATGCGTTAATTTTGACGGGCAGTGTATTTTAGCACTAGAAGGAGTCATGAGGTCGACAGGTACAAAAGGGCTAATAACTCATAAATCCGTATAAATAATTGCATACGCGGATGACATAGCAATAATAGCGGGGGATTATAATGCACTTAAGGAGATCACGATACAAATTGCAAACGAAGCAAAGAAGAGAGGGCTGACGATTAACCAAGAAAAAACAAAACTGATGGTACGCAATAAAGATAACAGAACTAAACAACAAATAGTCGAAATAGGAAACAACAAGTATGAAGTGGTGACCAGGTTGAAATATATAGGAGTAATAATAAATGACAAAAATGACCGAACAGGAAATTAATCAAGACAGATGGGAAATCGATCATACTTTACATACGTACTGGCTACATGAAAGATAAGAATATACGTAAAAAACAATAATAAAAATATACAAGGTAGCCATAAGACCGGTAATTACAATTATATATGCGATGAATGATTATGACAACCAAAGAGGAGAAAAAATTAAAATGTTTTGAGAGGAAGATTATGAGAAAAATATACGGACCAGTTAGAACAGGGGAAGGAGAGTTACGAAATAGAAAAAAATATGAACAACGAAAATATAGCAAAGATAATTAAGGCGCAGAGACTTAGATGGCTGGGACAATTGTACAGAAAAGAAGCAGTAAGAAAAATAACAGAATGAAAAGCAGTAGAGAATAGATCGAGAGGGAGGCCAAGAATCAGATGTAAGACAAAAATTAAGAATAGACAAGCATGACGAAGTATTGTTGACTGGCCGGAAATGTCTGGACAGCATCTCAATTCGGTTATAGAGCCTGATTTTGAAAAATAGATAAAATTATAAAATCTTTAAACGCTTAAAAAATTTTGCTTAAAATCGATCTTTCCCAATCGTACTGGCAAATTTTTCTTAGGACCTGCGACAAAAAAATATACTTGTTTTATAGTTGGAACCTAGATACCCACTGATTTAAAAAAAATCCGGCTACGGAAAAAATCACAAGGGTAATCATGCGCAACGTTAAACGATAAATTTCTTATTGATAAAGATTTTTCCTTATTAAGGAAAAATCCTTATCAGACGCTTTTATAAGCGTCGAATAGGAAAATATATTCATAAAAACATGTCCATATAAAAATAAACGTTGTCTTGATGATTTTACCCCTCGGTTGGAACTAAAACTTACCAGATCTGCGTCTGGCCCTTTGGCCTATCTACGGCTTCGTTTCTTTTACCAGGGCCATTAACACCATTTTTGGAAATGATTTTAATGTTTTTTTAATATTATATCTAGATGACCTCCTTGTTATATCTAAATCTTTAAAAATACATATTTTTTATTTAAAAAAGATATGTTTGAGACTCCAAACGCCCAATAACTGTAAAATTCTCTAAATGTAGTTTCTTTTAACATAAAATATTGTTTTTAAGGTACGTTATTAATGCGTCGGGAAACCAGATCCCCAGCAAGTCCAAGCTCTTGTAGACTATCTTTCCCCTAAAAATGTCAAACAGTCTTTTGTAACTAGGACCATAGCTTTTCTCCCATTTTTTGCTAGTATTTCTAAACCTTTAGCTTTATATCACCCTGACCCTTCACTTCCATGGCATGTGATTACTGTTGCCAGCGAAGTGGGCATAGGCGCACAATTAATCGAAGTAAAATCATTGATGATATATAATCTATTACAATTTACCTTATAAAGTACCGTTGATTGCAAAGCTAGAGTGCCATTTTAACCTTGCAAACCTTTAATTTTTGAAATATAATTTCCGCTGAACACTTTGAACGCAGCCAGTAGCGATCATAGGCAGTTCGTCGTCCGTTCTGAATTTTTTTTCGACAAAACGGCCCAGAAATCACCACCCATCCTTGGTAGTCACATGATCATATTTGGTATTTACAATTTATAGTCACGTTTAGTCTCGAATGCACGTATTCTTTTTCTGGATTTCAGTTTAAATCTGATATTACCATCCCGCTTCTTCCCCCCGGATACTGACTTAGCTGCTTTAGTTACTGTCTTCATAGAGCGTTTCACGCTCTGAGGGTGGCATGCCCTGCAGGGAAAATCTGAGATAGTCAGCTTGACTGGTTCCTTTTCATTATCACTCATTAGGGCGCGATAGATTTCCGCATCTAATTGAACCGGGTACTTTAGTTTTACTTAAAGCAAACAACTTGTCTTCTTTAATTAAGGCCGAAACCAAAAAAACTATTATTTAAAAAGTCATACCGGATTAAAAAGCCAGAGAAACAAGATTTGGGAAAGAAGTTAGTCAACTTTGTTCCAACTAAGTTTGGAGTATGATATTTAACAATACATTGGAGTTTATTTGGACATATACAAGGTGTCCCTAAACCTAGTGGCATAAATTTAGGAGCAGATTAAAGTTAAAATAAGACGAAAATCTATATAAATATTTTTCCTAATTACGTATGTTTAAAAGATACAAGGTGATAAAGTGTTACTTATCATATCAGTTTTTTTAATATAACTTCTACTATGGTAGACTTGGAAAGGTGATATTTTGCGAACAGTCCCTTACTAGCAAAACACATATTCACACATAATTACAATTGTTCGAGTGAACACAATGTCGTAGAAACAGGTGTTGCTTAAGCTTATTGTCCTATACAAACTTTGAGGTTAGGTTTTTATACCATTTTATGCAATTTTTCGATTACTCAGTTCGTTCACTATTAAAAAGGTATACCTCTCAAACTTCGATAAAATAAACCGTTTCCTTGATATTCGAGATTACAATAATTGTTATATCGCATTAAAGGACTATAAAAGGTATATAACATATGTATTTTTTAATTAAAAAACTACAATGTGACGGTCAGGGCAAAAAGTCTCGAGGCTCATGGAATGCCCTTTTTAGTTTTTTTAATTAAAAAATAATATTTGTTATCATATACCTTTTAATCCTTTTAAATAATGCGATATAACAATTATTGTAATCTCGAATATCTCGGAAACGGTTTATTTTATCGAAGTTTGAGAGGTACACCTTTTTAATGGTAGCCGAACTGTGTAATCGAAAACTTGCATAAAATGTTACAAAAACCTAACCTCAAAGTTTGTATGGGACAATAAGCTTAAAGCAACCCCCGTTTCTACGACACTGTGTTCACTCAAACAATTGTAATTATGCTTATACTTATAGCTATTTACTTGTTATAAAACCTATAGGTTATATATGGTTTAAAACAGACTTTAAAACAAAAAATGTTTTCAATTACCGAAATTTGAGTTATGTTGCTTGCGATACTTTGGCAGAAAGTCATCGATGTGTGAATATGTGTTTTGGTAGTAAGTGACTGTTCGCAAAATATCACCTTTCCAAGACTACCATAGTAGAAGATTTATTAAAAAAACTGATATGATAAGTAACACTTTATCAACCTGTATCTTGGAAACGTAAGTAATTAGGAAAAATATTTATTTAGATTTTCGTCTTATTTTTACTTGCTCAATCTTTTCCTAAATTTATGCCAATAAGTTTAGAGACACCTTGTATATATATATATATATATATCAAATAAGAGTTATTATAGCCATGTTTGACCAAAAATTGACGTATTTTATGGCATTAATTTCCCAACGCCGCGGCGTAGCTCAAAAACTGCATAAAAATAAAGACATAAATTTTAATTTTTGGCCAACTTCGTTTGTAATGAAGATTGGGAAAATTGGGAAAATTTTATTAATGCAGATAAACTTGTCAATTTTTTTTTATTTATTTATGGGGATTTGCGAGTATATAAATAAAACAATATTTAAGTTAAACAGCTAATGACAGCACTTTCTGGGTAAAATAAAGTTTTAAACTTTTGTGTAGGTATATTTAATTTGGGATTTGTGCATAAACGCGTAAAAAACGTGATCGTGTGCAAGTTATTTAAAATAAATCACCCGTGCAGTTTATAAACGTTTGTTAAATATTTTGAGTACTGAATAGAACAAAAAATTAACTAAATATAAACAATATAAACGTAAACATTTTCTTTAAAGCTTCAAAGTTTCTGTTTTTCTAGTAATATTCTTTCATTTATAATTAATATTTGTAAGTAATCAAGATTTTTTCAGAAATTTGCAAATAAAATGCCCAATATTTGCCCAAATAAACGTCATGCTCAAACATTCCCAAAATTATACCAACGGTAACCTACCTAGCCTTACCAAACTGTTTTGCGTTTTATTGAGCACAATTTAATCGTTTATTGTTTGCCATCGCGATTGCACAAGAAACGTAGGAATATAATCTTGTACATTTATTGGCAAAACTTTTCCAAAGGCAAAAGGGCAATTCCTGTAAGTTTTGATCTTATATCATATAAGTTATATGGCTTTTTGAGAATATAAAAAAAGAAGAACATTTCATGCCTCTTAAATGTAAAAATAGTTAGTTTAAGTTCAGATACCTATAACTAAACTTGGAGGAGGGCAGATGTAACAAAGAAAAACTTTAATAGACAAAATTTTATGTTTGTACGCTTTAACGCCCTTGTTTTTATATGCTTTTGTTCTCACTTTCACTGTGTTGAACTAAGATTAAAAACGTATAAACTGCGTGATATATAATTTAGTGCTGCAGAATTTGTGGTTGAAAGTAATTAATAAGTTTTTGCAAATCCCTATTTTACAGCACCTGTTTTGTCTCGTGTGTTATTTTGCCGTATTTGACTTTTATTTGGTTTGTTCAAAACATCATTAAAATCTCTGTCCATCTAAAACATATTTTAATGTACTATGCTCCACACCCAAAAGACCTATATTGCATTATTTTCAAAAAATAAGATGAAATTAGTTTGACACTAACAAAAAATTACCTTAATTATTTGTATCAAAGTCACGTGGTGGGAATTTTGGATATGGACCATAAAGAAAGTATGGTATGGTCTCTATGGTATGGACAATAGTAAATATAACTTCTGCACTGGGATTTTTATTACTTGTCCGTTACGTCATCATTGTCGCAATACGTTATGCAAGTCATTATGCCAGCTGTACAATTATCGCGGGATGAGCATTCGTTGTCCTCAGTGTTGCCGTTTGTGGGTATTTATAACGTCCCTTTTTAGCAGCCCTAGGCTAGGGCTGCTAAAAAGGGCCCCTAGCGATTTCAACGTTTATTTGTTTTTTGATCAAACCAAATTAAATTCAATTTTTTCAGTCCATACATAGCCGGCCATGATCGTTATTTTTAATAACTTTTTACTTTCAGAGTATAAATACAAGTAAAATAAACACAGACGGAAGATGATTAAATATATATACTTAATCATCTTTGGTCTGTGTATACTACTTTCTTTATACATCTTTTTATATAGATATGACAACCCAAAATTACAATGTAATTTTAGCAAATTTAATATACCTAATTAATAAGTTGTTTACCTAATAAAATAAATTAAAATTAATTGATTAATTTTAAAACAAAAATTACATTGTAGTTTATCGTAATATTGTTAGGTAGGTAAATAAATTTGATTGTAAATATACAATGTACCTACGTAGTAAATATACAATGTACTTAGTTAGATTATCCCAAAATTATTTAAAATATACATTTACTTTGATTTAAATAGTTTTTAGGAAATATGTTTTTTTTTAAATTATAAATTTTAACAATTACTTTTTTCAAATAATGTTTGAGAGTGACAACGCAAAATTTAAAAATAGCCGCGAAATAGTAAAAGAAACTAAATAAAATAATAAACGAAATTTTAATAAAAATTACGTTTTTCTATTAGAAAAACAAATAGATAATATATTACTTTAACAACAAAAGTATCATTGTGTCATGGCAAAATTAAGATCTATAGTTTTAATGAGTAAATTACAAAAATATAACCGAACATTTAAAATAAAACCTAATGATTACCTATGGTTGATTTTAACAAAAGAACTCGAAATAACTAAAAGAGTTTTCCGCCCAAGAAATTTAAGATTCGAGGAGAATTACACGTTAGGAATAAGAAAATAATCTAAAGAAAGTAGACGCTTTTCCAATTATTTGGCGTGGATAAGCGTTCACGATCCTGAAATGTGCTGGCTTATTAATGGGCGATTAACAGCCGCAAAAACATATTAATTTTAGAAAATGTTATGTTACCATCTGTAAAAGAAGTTTTTCCCGACAATTTTACATTTCAACATGCAAGAAAATAGTATAGTAATATTAATAGTATGGCACGCACATTTAAATTCATTAATTTTCCAGTTCATACTGGAATAGTATGAGAGTGGGTCAACAACCACAATTTAAATGTTTTCCCTTGCCCAGCAAAAAGTCCTGAATTAAACCCTATCGAGAACGTATGGAGCTTCATAGTAAAAACAGTTATATCGAAAGAATTTTAGGCCAGTGAACCGCAACAATTGTGGCACGCCATTAAAAATTGCTTGGGAATTGCTTGTTGATTTCCTCAGCATGCGACATTTAATTATGTCCATGTCCCGAAAACTGGAAAGTGTTGTGACAGCTAATGGTTGCAATAAAATATTAGTATCCAAAAGCATTTTCACTTATATGTTCAAAGAGATCATGGTCTTCATTCTCATTAAATACCTTTTTTGAAATGTATTTGTGATCTATGTTGTTCCTGTCAGCTTTTCTTAATGTAAAATATGCATCTAAATCAGCAGCTACTTTACTTAAGGACCAATTTTCTTTCAACATTGTTCCCATGTTAATTTAATTTTTAAATAAAAAAATGTTATTTTATTTAATTTTTTTAAACATTTAATCATTAAATGTCCGATAATTTTAAAGTAATATCTTTTTGTTCTTATATTCTACCCTCATTGTTATGCTCATTTATTTTTTAAAATCCATGACACCCAAAAATTGTTTACATTTTGATGTTGTCAACTGTACGCAGCAATTTGCAATATATTTGTGTCCGGCGCAGGCATTCTGAAGTGTATTTCTCTTTTAATCATAAATTCTATATTTGATCTTTTTGCAGTGCGTCTATGTTACGCCTACGTTACGTCCAACTATAAACATTTTATTTTATTTTGTAAGGTCGGTCGATATAAACAAATTTTTGAACCACATAATACCAACCGCGTTTTAGCGAAACTTAACCGCTACGTCATTCAGAGGATGACGACACAATTTCGCGCTATTTCCCAAGTTGGCTTTTTTACTTGGATACCATCTAAATTATTTGTTTATAAATGTTAGAACTCACATTTAATGTTATATTTGAGATTACATCCTTACAAAATTGAAGCCTTTCTTAAACATATTAAGTTGTTTATTACAAAAAATGGACTAGTTCAATGGCCTCCATTACTGTGATTTAATTCCATTAAAATTCTTTATACATTTATATGAACAAGATAAAGATAATTAATGCATTATTGATGCATTAAAAACCTAACAACGCCATTCAAAATAAAAGGCATCTATTAGTTTTTGATTATTGTTAATACCTGGAATAGTTAAGAAATTCCAAACGCAATCCTTTCGGCTTGGATAAAAGTCTGGATAATTAGGACTGGTAATGGTTCCTGAAACGGATGTTATTTCATATTTACATCCGCCTTCTTTGCAGTCTTTTCCGTTTTTATGTAACGTGTAACCATTGTTACATGTGCACACGTATGATCCAAATGTGTTTACACAATCGTGTTGACACCCTCCATTATCATTTGTGGTGCACTCATCCATATCTAAAAATTAGTTTCCTTTTTAACAGATACTACATTTGTTAAAGAAAAGTCGCGATGATTAAAATTAAACGAGATAAAATAAATTACCTTTACATCTCCTTTCATTTTAATCTTCTTTTCTCTATAATCTGTTTTCTAACATTATGGACCTTTTATCGTTCTATGTCACATAATATGTGGGTTGATATTAAATTTAAGTTGGTTTATTATTAAAACAGGTAAATATTATTTCTACGTTTATTAAAAAAATACAAAATGTAATTAAACTATTACGTGCCTGTAAAGTAAATAGCTGCGAATCCGGTTTTTTGGGTACTACTGTCCGATGAAAACACTATTCTTAGGATATTGCTATCCGACGTTATTAAACTTGGAAGTTTTGAACCACAGAATAAACCATGGTCCTTTATTTTATTGTCAGACATTTTGCTGTAAACTTCTAATCTATCCTCAAACAAAAACAAATGTTAAATGTTGTATTCAATATCGTATTTAGGGCGTTTCACAATTCAGGAAATTATATTTAATGGTTAGTTGGTAAGTCTGAAATATTTTGAACATTAATTAGAATACCCCAGGGCCCCGGACCGTAGAAAAAACCTGAAACCTTATAATTAAGTGGCCTCCAATTCATTATTTATAGGATAATAAGAGACAAAAAAAATAAAAAATAAACAATGTTCCGATTGCCAAAGTTGCTCATAGATGTCAGCATCGTATAGGTTGACCACATACTTCCACACATATACCGCTTATTGCCTATATTTTGTATAGATGACCTTGTTCCCGTTTCTAAGGGGAAATTTGTTCTCGTAGATGCACCGTTTGTGGCCATGGCACCTCTTGTGGCCAGCTGAGGAAAGATGCATAAATATTTCTCTTTGGTCTAGGAATATCCAATCACATTTCAGTTCTCCCACTTCTTTAATATTATTGGGGCTATAATTGCGGCATTTCTTGTATCTTGTCTTCTGTGGCTCAGTGTGAATACAGCATCTAGTGGGCCATGTTGATATTTTGTGTATAACTTAACATATTTGTTAAGAAACCTAAGGTGAGTTCAAGGCACATTTTGGTCAAATTATATAAAATTGATGGTTGACATAGGTGTTATTTTACTTTTGTAACTCATTCTTAAGTAATTTTAATTGTTTAAATGAGTTTTTTTACCTCTAAACATTTAAATTAACGGTGGCCACAAATGGTGCACGAATAAGCTAGATGTTCCAAATGTGGCCACTTAGTGGACCACAAATGGAACACGAAATCCAGTTGTGGCCACGTATAAGAAAGAGATAACAATTTTTAGACCAATTGCAATAGAAACGCTTACCAAAACTATATGTTCAATCAGCTCCTAAAGACTGGGCTGTTGGGATCTCTGATTCAGGATGGATGCAGAGCAAACAGTTTTTCGAATACTTTGCGAATGTTTTCATAAGTTTTTTGGACTCTAACGTGATTCCTAGGCCAGTTATCGTGTTTATGGATGGACACGCTTCTCATTTATCTTTACATCTAAGCAATCTATGCCGTGTAAATGGTATAATTTTAATTTGCCTGCCACCAAACACTACACATTTGATGCAACCTTTAGATGTTGCATTTTTTTATCCCCTAAAGCAAGCCTGGAAAAAAATTACAAAAAAATGGCTGTATGATTATGAAGGTAGAACTATTCAGAAAAAAGATATACCTAGTGCATTGAACTCAATCCTTACTCAACAAGATTTCTCACAAACTATAATTTCGGGATTTAGAACATGTGGACTTTATCCTTTTGATGAAAATGCTCCAAAATATAAAAAATGTATTAAAAAGGATTTGCCAAATGAAGAACAAGATACCTTTTCGACAAAGCCTATAAAGAATGACAAAATAGCTAATTTTCAATTTCTGGAGGAACAAATTGGTCCATTTGTATTGCAAGATTTTAAGAATTCCTACGACAATAATTTTTCCATTTGGCAAGGAGAAGAACGATTTTTAGAACTTTATAATTTATGGAGATTAGTTAAAGAAGATGTGAATCCTGAACAACACTTGAATGAGCCGCTGGATGCTGAAGCAATGATAAATGCTGAAAGGGACCTACTTATTTTTAATTTCCCAGAATTTTCTTTCGATGACGTTGACGAGCAGATAGGCATCGAGGAGCAGATAGGCATCGAGGAGCAAATATGTACAGAAAAATCAACAGGCACCGAGAAACAGATAGACATTGACGTACAGAAAAACATTGAGGAACTGACAGGTACCGAGGAACAGAAGGACATCAAGGAACAGAAGGATACCGAGGAAGAGCAGGACATCGAAGAACAGAAAGGCATCGAAAAACGCACAGGCACGGAAAAACAAAAAGGCACTGAGGAACAGATATACATCAAGGAACAGACAAGCATCAAGGAAAATATAGGCATCGAGGATCAGACAGGCATAGAAGAACAGACAACCATCGAAAAGCAAACAGGCATGGAAGAAAAGGTATACATCAAAGAAAATAGAGACATAGACATAAAGATCCACGAAAAATCAAACATCGAGATAGAGATCATAGAAAATAAAATAAAACCTTTGAACGAAAAAAAAATTAATATTATCCAAAACATTACTATTAAGCCAGGTCCGGGACCCAGTAGTGAAGTCATTACTACCACTAGAGAAACCGATAAAGAAACGAGGTTATTAAAAAAAAGAACAGTTAGTGAAGTCCTTAAAGAAGTTAAAACATGGCCTAACGAAAATACGACCCCTGAAAACGCAAAAAAGAAAAGGATTACCCTTCCATCTGTGGTAACCTCAAACAAATGGATTGAAATTTTAGAAGCCAAAGAAGCGAACAACGGTAAAGAAAAGACTGCTGTTAAAAGAAAGACTGTTAAAAGGAAACCTAAAGAAAGTATTGTCAAGAAGACTACTTCTAAAGAAAATATTTCAGAAGAAAATAATTCTAATGATAATAGCTCTGAAGGAAATCATTGTGAGCAAGATTATGATAAAAGTACCAAAGATGTTAACAGAAACCAAAAATCAAATATTGACTTAGTTTTAGGTGTAAATTCATTTGTTATTCTCAAATATGACAACAATTTTTATCCCGCTAAAATTGTTAACGAGGATAATAATGGTGAATATTACTGCTGTGCAATGCAAAAAAGTGGAATAAATTATTGGAAATGGCCTGATTCACCTGACCTTCTTTGGTATCAAAGAAAGGATATTATTTTGAAAATAAATGAGCCTAATGTTATAAATACAAGAGGGGCTTTGTCGGTCCCTGAAATGAAGCAATTTCTATAATATTATTTATATTAATTTTTGTATTTTGGTTATTTTTACTGTTTTCGAAATACATATGAAATATTATAATACTAAATTTTGCATTTTTTGTGAGATAAATCTTCAATAAACTGATTTATGGTCATTTTATACCTATAGGTATATAACTATAGTTTCATCTTTAAACACTCAGTGGCCACAACAGGTTCTCTTCCTGGCCACAACTGGCGAAATTGCATGTAACTAGTATTTTATTAAATCTGTCTCTTTTAGACTCATATACTATATTATTATGTCTGTCTTTCAAGTCCAGTAACATTTACAGTTTCCTTTAATGTGGCCCAAATGAAAGATTTCCCTAAAATTATTAATCTAGCTTTAGTCAATGATACCAAACTCTTAAAGTGGCCACAACCGGTGCTTCTACCCTAGTGTGCCATTTTCCTTTATGCGCATAGTCAGTTCATAAGTGGGGGATTTAAAATATATGATACCATAGACAACACATAACATTAGATAGAGAAATTAATACGTCCATTTATGATACGAATTGTTAACTAAACAAAATTTAGGTTATATAAAATTTTTCTAAATTATTTGGTTCCATAGCCTGGGTTAAGCTTACAAAAATTTTTGTGATTTGGCTTTATAAAAAGCAAAAAGTGGCATAATATGCATATTATGTAAAATCCACTAAAATCTCGTTAAAACAATGGAAAAAACAATGCCAAAACAATTGGTATATATACAACAGAAAACAAACAAAATTGATAATTATAATAGGCCGTTGCTAGTCGTCCGTATATTCGGACGATTAATATATTTTATTCATCCGATGATCGGACGATTAGACAAGTCGAAAGGCCGTTGCTAGTCGTCCGATCATCGGATGAATAAAATATATTAATCGTCCGTATATTCGGACGATTAATATATTTTATTCATCCGATGATCGGACGATTAGACAAGTCGAAAGGCCGTTGCTAGTCGTCCGTATAATCGGACGATTAAAATATATTAATCGTCCGGTAATAACATAAATAAATAATAAAAAGATTATCGGACTCAAACTCAACAACACAACCCAACCGACCCCGCCCCATTGGAGCCCCCCCCCCGCCCCATTGAACAAAAAACCCAACTAAAATGGGCAAATTTATGTTACGATAAAAATAAAACAACAAATAAAGCAACAACAAATTTATGAAATAAAAAAAGTTCGACAACTTCTAGTAGATTTTATGTTACGATAAAACTAAAACAAACCAACCAACCCAACCCAACCGAACACTGTTTAACAAAGAAACAACAAATTTATGAAATAAAAAAATAAAAAAAATTCGACAGCTTCTTAGTATCGAACCCGGGACCTCTCGCATGACAAGCGAACGCCCTACCATATAAGCTATCTAGCTTGTTGTCAAATATTAAACGGTCGGTGAACAAAAGCGAATTATAATTATGACGTAACTAACGTTATGTTATTACCGGACGAATAATATATATTAGTCGTCCGTATGTTCGGACGATTAATATATTTTATTCATCCGATGATCGGACGATTAGACAAGTCGATTATTAATAACCATCTACATATTTATATGTCTACCATAAAAATCTTTTGGCTATAATCGTGATCAAAATACGATGTTGCCAAATTTTTGCTTTTATAAAAATGCCATTATAAAATCTAAAATATCATCATTTTGTGAGTTTATTATTGTTAAATGCTTTTTTCATACAATTTATATCCAATTTATTAAAAAGTATTTATTATACTTCTTAAATAGGGACAAAAATATGTTATTTTTTTTTAAACCGGCAATGCAGCTGACGCATGCGCCTCAATGCCCGCTACCCTGTGAGAACATTTCCCCTACTTTACCCCCACGAAATGGAAACAGTCTCAGTTAGAAATGATTTGTATATGTGTGGAAGTATGTGAGGTTGACACGGAAAGATTTAGGTATTTTTAAAAAGATGCGCACAATGTGGGTTAAGCAAGGATGGTACTGAGCCATTCAATTGTCTTTTAAATTAAAAGTTTAAAAAGTTAATATTGTAACTTACGAAATGAGCTTTAATAGGAATATATAGGGGGTAATCACGGTGTTGGTTGTTGTTAGCGTTATGTTTTAGATAATTATCTAAAACATAACGCGTTT